AATTCAACCACCAAGACCACTTTATGGTCACATCAAGCACCAAAGCACAATTAAAACAGCAGCATGTCCAAATGTAAACAAACAAAGCTACCACAGCTACATATATTTGAAGGCGTCCAGAAGCCGTTTTATAAATCCAGTCTTCAACTGTTTATACTCCATTCATCCATAAGGGTCCACAGATTAAAAGTAATCCAGCATATTAGTAATAAAAATATTCCATGATGAGAAAATCACCCATAACATCCGGTTGTTGACATCAGAAAGGTTAGCTGGTCATAGCTAATGCTTAGCATCTTGCTAATATTTACTTCTAATACTCATTTCCACGGTTTTTAGCTCACGATTTTTGGTATGGTTCTTTACTAGGGGTGTAAATCACACCCATCATGGCGATTTCGATTCAGTATCGATTCCTGACACAACGATTTATTTTTTGATACTCAAGAATACACCACGATACGATTCGATTAATTGGTTAAATTTGAAAATTAATGTTTCAAATTTGAAATAAATCAGTGAAAGCTGTAATATCGTTGTGCATTTTATTTGAGAAAAAACAGCAATTAACAGAAGTGGCAAAGTTGTATTCCACCTAGGCCTAAGAAAAACCTCATTCACTGTAAAATAATAATGCCTCTGTGTTTACGCAAGTGTGTGTGTGCAAGCGGAAAGAGGGTAGTGAATAAAGGAAGCGAGGTAGGAGGGTAAGATAGGTTTAGCGCCACCGCAGCACAGGAGTCAGAATTGCGTCCAGGAGCAACTAGATGAAAATAGATCGGAGGGAAAAAAAACATCAATCGATTATCTTGCGGACGTGTCGATGTATCGGATCGTCGGCTTTTGGATCGATGCATCGATACAAAGCGATTATTATTTACACCCCTATTCTTTACTCCTCTTCTTATCTACAAGACACGTGTCTGCATATTTTTATGACGTGATTTGAGCGAGATATAGTCCTCGAAATCTCACCTTCTGTCCATTTCCTGTCGGTTAGTGACACGCGATATGATTTTCGTTATATTCTCTGCTGGTATTGGTTAAGAACACGTGGTCTGGTCACTGAGGTCTGAAATTTTCTGCATTTGTTGACATGATGTAGAACAAATTTAATACAATGAGACCTGCCTTTTCTCAAGAATGTCTTTATTACTGCTGTTCAAAAAAGACCTATCATTTCCAAGAATATAGAAAAAAGCGTTGAGTCACGTTTGAACTGAAGAAGCTTTGTCTGTGTTCTACTCACCCAATATTATATGTATTTTATATATTCAGAAACTAGAGAGTGTTAGCTTTCAAATAATGTATTGCACATGTCATTTGGGCTTACAGTTCCTAAGTTATTTGCTTTTCCATTTGGGTATGCGAAATAGGCGAGGATTACCCAAAATGAGGTGGATTTCAAGAGGATAATCCATATTATATTTCTGGTTTATTTTTTCATTTATTTTAATAGTGTCCTGTCTGGCAATATGAAAATAAGAATAATTGTCTTGATGCCAAAGAGCCCAAAAGCTTTTCATTTTACAAGTGGAGCAGTACCGCTTTAGTGTTCTGCTTAATTTATGCATATAAATAGCTTTATTATAATCCATGCATGGAGTATTACAGATTATATGGACAGTGCAATGGGAAAGTAAAATGGGAAAGGAAAGAGGAGAAAAGATGATAGAAAGAGGAGATAAAAACGGAGACAACGATAAATCCTTTTCAGTCTGCTTCATCACCTGCAAAGAGATATAAAAAGAACAGCACAACCAACGGATATCATATAAGAGATACAATAAAGTAGCACCTTGATACTATCGCTGAAGTATAAGTAGTATTATTTGATCTGACATGTATACTGTGGTTGCTGACGATAAGAATATGGGCTTTCTGTATGGAAGTGAATCTCTTAAGTACCGGGTTTATTTTTCAAGACCCCTCCTGGGGTTTGTTAACAGAATCAAATACGACAAGTTTTGAATCTGGTGATATAATCAGATTAAATTCAATTTAATATCCTGTCCAGAGCCTTTCAGGGATCCACTATGAATTCTATCAACTGACTTTATTTGACAAATATTTATATTCAATGTAAATCAAATAAAACTACTGTAAGCAGTTTGGTTGTAATAAATATAAATAGAATATCTTAACACAGACATTGCTGCATTACAAACATAATACGTGTGTTACGCTGTAATACAGTAAAATACATACCATAGACTAGGACCTATAGTGCTTGCTTCATCCAGCCAAAATAGCAGTGATGTTAAACGCTTTCAGTTTGAACTTCAGCGCATTGAAATTGATGAGAAGGTAGGAATGGGTAAAGAAGGTGAGGAACAAAAGGAGGAAGAGGGGAGAATTCTAAGATTAAAGTCAGAATTCTGACTTTTTTCCCATATTAAACTGAAATAAAATGTAAAAATCGACAAACTTTTTTTTTTTTTCCCCAATCCTCTTCCATAGATTTAGCTTTCAGTTTTCATAGCCTAAAGGACGATGCCGGTACAGCCATTATGTACCAAAATGTGAGGTAAAAAATGGCCTTTAAACATCTTCTCACATCTCCGTGCTCTTTGATGCAGAAACATCTTGATTAAAGTTACCTTCATGCAGGAAGGACGTAAACTGTTGTTGCCACCACAGTGGCTGCTTGATTGTGACTCATTTAGTTATTTGTGAAAGTTTCCAAACTGCTGGTTTGGGATAAATTGGGATAAATGAAGCCAGAACTCTTCTTGTTTCCACCATTGGCAAACGTTTGCTCTAATCTACATGAAATGATCACTTTTTATAACAACCGTCAGCCTTATTTGTTAAACCAAAGATTCTCCATATAACCAAATCTTGAAATCTAGCCAAAATGCATTTTCAGTCTTGTTTTAAGAAAGTATATATTATGATTTCAAGAATTCTTACAGGTTTAATTCTCTCAGTGCAATGGCAGATTAATGAACTTTTATTCTAAATAGAATCTTCTCAATGGAAGATTAATAATCTAACATGATCTGATCTTGCTGCATGTACTAATCTCAAAACAAGATTAATAAGCAGCTAAATTTAACAGGGTTCCCTCGGGTCCTTAAAAAGTCTTAAAAGTCATTGAATTCTTCAAAATAAAGCTAAGGCCTTAATTGGTATTAAAATGTCTTAAATCAGTGTTTTGTAGGTCTTAATTTTTAAAACATCATAAATAGGATTATTTTTATTACGATTTATTTTTGTAATCTAAATAAAACGTTAAAATTGAC